AGTATCTCATGTTGAACAGGTTGAAATAGACTAATTTTTGTTTAAAAATTTTCACACTTAAAATTAAAATTGTCAAAAATTATAAAATACTGACTCAAGTTTGCTAAATGCAAAACTAGCTTTCTTTTAGGGTAATAAGATTATCAGGGAAATAAGAGAAGTATTTCTCTATGTGAGCAAAACACGATAATTTCCATAATATCTTTATAAGAGTAAAATTCAGGCTAGAGGATAGATAAAAGTTAAAGTAGTTTACAAGATTAGTAATTAATAGTTGTGTGTCCATATTGAAGGGGGTCTCTAAGGGAAATCTCTGAGAACTTAGGTCCTGACCCTATTCTGCTTAGCATTTTTATCAATGATTTGGTTGGAAATAAGGCATCTGCAAATTTCAGAAGTGTGCCTTTTATAAGACTGGGAGGGGAAGATAACTACAATAGAAGATGGAAGCAAAATTGTCTTGATGGGTTGGAACACTAGGCCCCAAACAATAGCATTACATTTATCCTTGTTAATTCCAAATCCTTCACTTAAGTACAAAAAATCATCTACAGAAGTGCTGGATTAAACCTATCTGTCTTGGCAGCAGTTCACACAAAAAAGATTTGGGAGTTTTAATTAAGTGCAAGCTCAATGAGAGCCAACAGTATGACTCAGCTACTAAAAAACCTAAATATTTTAAGCTGCATTGATTAAAATGTTAAAATATAATGTCTAGATCAAGAGAACTTATTAAAATATTAAAATAAAATGTCCAGATCAAAAGTCAGTCATTCCACGGCACTTATGTTGGTCAGAAGGCTCTTGGTAATAGTAAGTTTGGTTCTGGGTATCACATGCTAAGATGTAGGGATATGACAACATAAAAAGGAAAGAGAGACGTGTAGAGACCACCTTCTACAAACAATGGTTGGTTAATTATTCATGTGAAGAGGAGACTTAGGAGAGATGAAAGGTATAATCAGGTATGTGAAAGGTTATCATACAAAAAAGTTACAAATTATCCCATACTACTTCAGTGTAAAGAGAAGGGTTAAGGTAGAAACTACAGAGAGGCAGATTTCAGATGGACATGAGAAAGAACTTGCAAATAGTTCTATTCAAGTCCTTAAGTTGTTTCTTGGGCATTTATTTTTGTTTGATTTGTCTATGTCTGAAAGAAGTACATTGAGATAGACAATAAAGCTATAAAAATTGGCAATTTCTTCCTGTAATTTTTAAAACTTTGACTTTAAGCATTTACATGCTACATACCATTTGGTGAATCTTACTGTGAATTAATGTAACAACATAATTTTTTTTTCCTTTCCTGCCACCTGGCTATGACTAATAGCACTGAGAAATGAGAAGAGATTTAATGTGAGAATGAGAAAATTGGAAAGGAGGAAGTCATTTTTAAGCAAGGTTCTTGAGAAGAACTAGCACTAATGGATTCCCCAAAGGAAGGATTTAGTAATGAAGAACAATGGGTGTCTGGATGGTGGGGGACATAAGGACACTAAGATCTTGGAGACGGGCATAGAGGAGGAAAGAAGGTTACAAAGACAAATCTAACTTTTCCCTAGGACTGCTCCTTTCCTTCCTCCCAGAGACCAACTGAGAAATACTTCTTCTCTTTGGAAAATGGAACACAGGATAAAAGGACTATTATTACAGCCCAATAATCCTATCCCAAAAAGTCCAAGTTTAAGAGGCAAGGTAAGGTGTAAATTGGCTTCTCTAGTCTGTGAAAAGGAATTTCTCTCTAAATGTTAGATTCTAGACCTATGCTTGAATGAACTCTTCTGTGTTCTCACTGAGCTGACACTGGTATTGCAGCAGACAGAAGCGAGGGGAAGTTTCACAGGGAGTGATGCAGGAGGTACTGAAGGTATTACTTTTGGGTAAACAGCAAAATCAACTAAGTACATATTTATTGAACAATGGCAAGTGTACCTGTATTAACTAGTGTAGAAAACCTGATTTCTATAGACAAAAGCTAAAAGTGAGTCCAGTATGCATTTGAAATACATCAAATCCCAAATTCCTGTCATCTGAATTAACAAGGGTTTATTGTTCCAAATCATTAAACTGAACAAGTACAAAATAAAGGGCTTGTCAGGATGCACTTCAGTAATCAGTTAAAGAAAGAATCTTTTGAAGAAGGCCTTTAAAGGAGGTTTCAAGGCACTGCCTAGGATTGTTGTGACTTTTATCTTAACCCTTCCAACTTGTGAATACAGCTCCTGGTGGACAGAGACCTGTCATCTATGTATGCAAGTAGTTGGTTGGCAGGCCTCCAAACACAACCACTTAGGAAGTGGCTGCTTCCCTGGGTAGATGTCAAGCAGACTGGCCTAACTACAAGTGCATTCCTCTCACATGTAAAGTGGTGTTTGGTCAGTGTTCCTCCATTCGCCACAGAGCTGTTTGAGCTGACACAAAGTCAATGGAGAGCAGATAAATAGCAAGAAAAGAAGCTTCTTCACTTTCTTCTCTTCTCTCTCCTTGTATCCCATCCTATAATGATCTTACTTATTCCTAAGGTTTCAACCATGCACCTCTGTGAATGTCCCCCAAATCACTCTCTCAAGCTCAGATTTCTAATTTGAGATTCAAACCTGCACCTCTACCTGGCACTCAACCAGGGAGCACCCTATCCTGTAGTGAACAGGGCACTAGAATTGGAATCAGGAAGGACTATGATCAAATACTGGCTCAGACACTTGAAGTCAACCTGGGCAAGTCACTGAATATCCCTAGGTCTTAGAGTCCGCATCTGTAAAGACAGATAGAGAGACAGAGAGAGAGAGAGAAAGATGGACTTAATGGCCTCTAAGGCCTCTTCTACCTCTAAATACATTATCCCGGGAGACACAAAAAATAAAGCTCAATCTCTCCCCAACCATCCTTCCCAACAGAGGCGCTCTTCCTTCTGGATTTCCTACATGTATCAGTGCTGCCATCATTCTCCTAGTAACTCAGGCTCAAATGCTCAGTTCTCTCTGATGGTACCTTCTCTTTCATTGCCTCATTCTCCAAGTCAAACAATTTTCTGAATTCTTTGGAGGATGTAACCATTGAAATGTGTTTTGCAATCCTCCCTTCTTTTCTCTTTTCATTGCCACTATATTAGTATAGGCTCTCATTATCTCCTAATGATAGGCTCCTAATTAGGCTACTTTTCTCCAGGCTCTCGCCCCTCCAATTCTTCCTACACACTGCCATCATATTAACCTCCTGAGCAGATATCTGATTACCATCATAAGTTAAAATTATGGTTACAAACCATATCGTGCATGTTGCCTTTCTTGTGTTCGCTGTATCCTATTTAGGAGAAGGAAATAAATCAGCAGTAGTAGCTCATCAGGAAAATAAAAGTTGGCCAAGCTAGAGATGCTACCTCAAAAGCCCACAGAATTCCCAGCTAACAGGACACAACAAAATTGATCCAAGCTCTGCATAGGTCCAGCTACCTTGCAGTAGACTCTAGTGAAAAGAGCACTGGATTTGGAGTCAAGAGACCCGGGCAAGACACAATATCTGTGGCCCTTGGAATCTTCATTTGTAAAACAAGAGTGTTAAGCAAAATACTCATTTCCAGCTTTAAATCTAAGATCCTATGTTCCCTTGGCTATGCCACTAAATGAGATCCACTCCTGGTTTGGGGCAGGTCAATATGATCCTCACAAAAACACTGGGATCATATTACTCTTCTGTTAAAACAAACACTGCCGCAAAACTAATTTTAAATAGTGCAGCATTGCATTCCAAATAAAATGTAAACTGTTTTGTCTGGTACCTGAAGGCCTTTATTACTCAGCTCCAAACTATTACCCCCATCCTTTTTCGACAATTCTCCCTTCTGTGTACAATAATGAGTTACTTACAATATCCCACACAACTCCGGCTGTGTGATTCTGGACAAGTCATTTAACATCTTCCTGCTCTAGGTAACTTTAAGACACTGAGTTGCAGAGGAGGTGCCAACATGTACTGGTAGAAGGATTTTCCTCATCAGGGAGGTCCTTATATCAATGAAATCAGAGGTCCAGTCCCTATCCCTATCTTCTACCCATAGAGGTCAGTTCCTGTCTCCAAGTCTTTGCTTATGTCATCACTTCAAACTAGCATAAACCTCTTCTTTATCTGATACCTACAGTCAAATGCTACTTCCTCCATGAAGTAATTTTATTCAATCATTCTGCCTGGAATTGAATTCCCTAGCCATTTTGTTATTCTCATATTTCACTTATCACATTCAACCTCGCATTTGTGTTATTTTCTGATTTATCTCCACCTCTAGACAAAGGGTAGGAATTGTCTTCTATTCATATTTGTATATCCCACAACTACTATCATGATTTCTGGCACATATCTGCTGCTCTGGCAAATTTATCAAGCAAACGAATGAAAGTAAGGTATGCATATCCCACAATCTAGAGAGGAGAGGAAAAGAAAGAAGATGAGAGGAGGAGAGTAAAGGAGAGGGGAAGAGAAGGGAGAAACATGAATATCAGAAACTTTAAAAAGTTTAATTACATTTGCAAAAAGCTTAGAAATTTCAAACATATACTTCCATAAGCACAGGCAGCTAGAATTAGCCAAATGAATATATTAAAACTATCTCAGTTTCTAAATTACATATAGGACCTAATGTTTCTCTTTTGTGGCCTCTAACATTTTTCCTATTCTCTTATTTAGTCTTACTTCCATAAATCATATCTAATAAAATGCTATCTCAAAACACATAACATAAAAATGGTTACTACTATACTAATTTCCATTCTCAACTATCCAATAATTCTTCCCATCAACATTATTAGTTTATTCCATTAAATTCATTTATCTTTCGAACTATGGTTCACATTTTTTCAACTTCGAATTATTATATTCTCTGTGTTCATTAGGTGCCTGTAACATTTAAATATATGATTAGATTTTCTTTCCTTTTGTTCTTTGAGAATTATTGACTACTTCTACATTTACTGGGGAAGAAGATAAAAAAAGTTCATTTTTACCATTTCTTGTGCAACATCATCAGGAGTTTCCTTCTCCAAATCAAAAGTAAACTCAATTGCTCCATTATCTTTGGGTTTTCCTTTCAGTTTCTTAGGATCTTCAACCCAAAGCCTTAAGGCAATAGAGGATTTCCTACCATGGTCTTCTTCTGCAAGCTCCACTCTTACCCCAGTGTCTTCCGCGAAAAAGGCATGGCCCAATAAATCTTTAATTTCATATCTGGAGAAGTACAAAAGCAAACAATCAAAAAAGACAATATAAGATAATCGATAATCTTCCCAAAATTTTATGAAATGTGCTCTTCATTTTAATTGTCTTGGAGCAGGCCACAGTGCTGAACAACTTATCCTAAAGAATTTCCTTATGAATATTTGCAAGATTTTTGGCTGACTACTTCCTCCCAACCTGCCCCCTCCATCTTACTTCAAAGGAGAGGATACTTGTTGACACTGAGTACCTAACTATGTATCATAAAAAACTTCTATCCCTTGTGTATTTTATGCCTCATTAAATAAGGCAAATATGCTACTCAACTGGACTGACTTAGGACTTTAATAACAGTATATGCCAGTTAGTCCCCCCACAACAATTTTATTAGTTCTACTATGCCAAACTGGCTAAAACATAAAATATTTTAGGCATCCCTCTCTTTCTTTAAGTCTTAGCCAATTCTTTTTTCTTTCAAAATTCTGTATTTCTGTTCCCAGAAATGATCCGACTTTCTCTCAATCATTTCAATTTGAGAAACAATACAAATAGTCAATTACGTTTCACTGAAAACTAACCTTTCTTCTTTGTTTTTGCAGATGCATTCCCCAATAATCTCCTTAATTTCAGGATCATGTACTTTTTCAAAGCTTGCTGGTTTGATACCCTGCAAAGGTAGGAAAAATACACCAAAGCTTCATTTTAAAAATTGAGAAAACATTAATTTATAGAGATAGTGCTGTGACAATAAAACTATCAATGAGTTACTTTGCAGGACTAGATAAAATAATAAAAAATTATTTGATAAGAATCTCAAGGGAAACAATGAAAAAAAATCAAGCAATTATGGAGGGGGCATAGCATCACCAGCTCTATTTTCATATAGCAGGAATAAACAAAATTGTTTACTATTTGTTTAGAAATAGAAAGACTACCATAACATACTACCTAAGTAAGACCCAGAAGCAAGTGAATACAATAGTTCAGTAAACATTATTCAGTATGAACTGCTGGGAAAGCAGTAAAGTATTTTGAAAGAAATTAGTTTTAGATCATCACATTACACCATATATCACAAAATGAGCTCCAACTAGATACATAACCAAAATACAAAAGGTTATATGTTAGAAAAATTAAATAATCAAGGGATACAAAGAGATTACCAAAAAAAACAAAAGTTTTGCTAACTATCAATCATGCGGGAAATAGGATTCCAATCACTAATAAGAGAAATGTACATTTAAACAACTCTAAGTATTCAACAAATCAGTGAAGATGACAAAAGAAAAGAAATAGTTAATAGATTATTAGTAAATAGAAAGGGCTTGTAGAAACATGGGCACACCAATACACTTTTTTATGGCAAAGTTGTGAATTAGTCCAAACATCCTGAAAAATAATTTGGAATTATGTGAAAAAAATTACTAAACTGTTAACAATTTCATCCCTGAGCACAGAAATCAAAAAGATCAAAGTTAGAGAGGGTTCCATATATGCCAAAATATTTATAATAACCCCTTTTCTGATAGAAAAGAACTAGGGGAAAAGTCATTGCCCATCAACTGGCACATTCCAGAATAAAGTGTAGTACTTGAACATGACATACTATTACTGTGCCATTAGAAATAATAAATATAGGGAATTCAAAAATTCTTGGGAAAATATGTATTAATTGATTCATACCAAAGTAAGCAGAACCAAGTGAAGAATATATGTGATGACTACAATGATGCAAACTAAAACAATATTGAATGGTAGCTCAACTTGTTTCCTGCACTGACCAACCTTGGACAAGAACAGATAATGATGAAAAGGTACACTTCCCCTTTGCATAGAGGTTGAGGAAGATGAGTGCTCAACGTTGTATTGCATCCTTGTCAGGTGCTATGTTAACTGGTTTTACTTAGCTGTTTTTCTTTGCTGCAAGGGAGAGTAGGGTGGGTAAATGAGGAAATGACTAGGGTATAAAAAATAAATGGCATCAATACAGTTTTAAATAGAATTTAATTTAAAGATGGAATTGTCACCTCTAGTCCATTATCATCTCTCATTTCTCCAACATAAAAATGTATTTAAAATTTGAGTTCCTTGAGGAAAGGGACCCTGTTTTTGCATTTCTTCATACCCTCCCCCACTACTTGGCACAGTGCCAGATAGAGTTAGCACTTAATGAATGCTTGTGATTGGTTATTTTTTAAATAGGATGCAAGTCAAGTTTGATTTCTTGTTGGTGCTTTAAAATAAATTTGTGGGAGTCACTGCAATTAACTTGGTAAGTCTACCCTTTTACTTCTATCACATGGGAGTTTCATTTTCTTCAATGTTGTGGTGCAGAAGCCCAAATTTGACTAGAGCCATTTCTGAAAGCTATCCTATTGTAATTTTAAAGCTCTGAAATGAGAGCTGATTCAATCTGATGCGTATCTTTCATGCCAGGTGCAGGTTACCTGCTTTCACATGTTTTATCATCATCATACTAGCAACAAGAAGCAACAATGTCATCGTTTACCCTTTTGAATTTGAGACCACATATTATACCTGAAATGTAGGATGTAATGTTTGGATTTCCGTTAATAAAAACTTAGTTAACTCTGACAGCCAAATAAAGTTTGTTTATATAAAACAGAATATAGTCAATAAAGTAACTTGGGCTTCTTGGTCTGTCACTGGTAGGAAGCAAGTAATGTGACCAGGCTTATTTTTTCTTTCTAAAAACACACCCTCAAATAAACCTTTTTTTTTTAAGCCCCTTCTCCTCTCTTTTCTGCCATCATTACTGCAGAAACAGAATCCACTGAAATCTTTACAGTGAATGAAGCCAATCTTCAAAAGCAAGCCCAGCTAAAAAAAGAGTTCTACAAATGTTTCTCTATCCTAGGTAGATTTAATGATAGACATTTGCCAGGTATATCTGTTTCTGATTTTGCTCTAGAGACAATTTGTAGAACAAAAACCCACCTGTGCAAGCTGGTGCTTAGAGGCAGCAAACTTAATGGTGTTTATTAACTTACTGGGAAAAGCCTGAAATGTTCTTGGAACGGAAGCAGCACAGTACAAGGGGAAAAGCATTGACTCAGGAGTCAGGGGATCTGGATGAAAAACCATTTCTGATGCTCACTACCTGAGCAACCTCAGGCAAGTCACTTAGCCCCTCAGGTAGATTTCAATTTTTCTTATTTGTGAAATGAGGGGGTTAGACCACATAGCCCCTGTTATCCCAGCTCCAGCTCCAGTCAATCTATCAAAAAGCATTTGTTAACTGCTTACTGTGTGCAGGGGGCACTGTTCTGAATATTGCCAATACAAGGAAAGGCAAAAACACTCTCCTTGCCCTTTAGGAATTTCTCAATCTGTGATCCTGTGATGCTGAAGTAAAAATCAGAAACATTAGAAATCAGAAACATCAACAACCTCAGAAATGCAACTCATTTGTATGCATTTGTACTGTATTCTCTGGTGCCTCAAGGTGAAGTTCAAACGGTTTGCCAACTATTGGTTGCAGGGGTTCTGGCCTGAAAGGCATTCATGCTTACTGCTTCTTTGCAAAGTTGTCATTTTTCTAACTTTCCAATTCTATTCAAAACTGATGAACTGTTTACCATATGGAGGGTACTGAGGACACAAAAAGAGGAACCACAGGGTCACCACCCCAAGGAGCAGGTGGGATTGGGGAGAGAACACAGGCATCATGAAGTAGATAAAAGGTTAACTAGAGAAGAAAACAAACTCTAAAAATGGGGTGATTGGGGAAAGCTTCAGGGAGAAAGTAGGACATGAACTGAGTCACGAAGCATGAAAAATACTGGAGATGAGATAGATGGAATGCACTGCATGTATGGAAAACCTATGAGAATGCATGGAAGTAGGCAGAGGAATGTCTAATTAGGGAAAATCTAGTATTCCAATTTGAGCAATCTGAGAGTACATGATGGATAGTAATAAAACAGGGGGATTGGAGAGATAGGAAGGCTTTATATGCCAGGTTGAGGAATTTGCTTTTTATCTTAGAGGCAAGAAGTAACAATGGATGTGTGAGCAAGGGAGTAATGTTCAGACTTGTCTCTTTAGGAAAATTACTTAGCATCTGTAGGAAGGATAGTTTAGTAAAGAGAGAATAGAACTAGGGACAAGTAGGCAAGAGGTAATGAAAACTTTCAACTAGAGTGGTAGCCACATGGGTAGAAGGAGACAAAAGTGAAAGATATTGTGGAGGTAGAATCAATAAGATTTGGCAACAGACTGGGTGTGTGTGTGTGTGTGTGTGTGTGTGTGTGTGTGCGTGTGTGTTAGTGGCAGGTGAAAAAATGGAATAGTAAAAAATGATAATGAGGTTTTCAGGCCCAGGGTTGGTAATACCCTCAACAGAAAGAAGAAAACTTGGAGGACAGATGGATTTAGAAGGAAAGATCATGAATTTTATTTTGAATGTGTTGCATTTGAGATGCTAATAGGTCATCCATTGGGATGACCATAAACTTAGTTAGAAAGGAACTTAGAGATTATCCAGCCCGTTTCACTCATGTTACAGCTGAGGATCTGAGAGATAAATGATGTGGGACTAGAATTCAGGAAAAAGAGTAGGGTTGTTTAAGCAGATTTAGGAGTTATCTGTATAGAGATGATAATCAAACTCTTCTAAGCAAATTAAATCATTAAGGGAGAAGAGAACAGAGATTAAAGAGAGAGCTCAGAACAGATCTATGAGGATTCCTATGCTATGGGTGCAAGAGATGGCTGATGCACCAGCAAATACTGAAAACGTACGGTGAGACAGGTAGGAAGAGATACAGAAGAGAGCAACATTCCAGAAGATATATATATATATATATCCAGGAGGAGTGAGTGACGAAACACAAAGAACTAGAGAGGGATCAAGTAAGATGAGGATGGTGAGAAGGAAACAGAAAAATTATCTTCCCACAGAACACCTCCTTGAGAAGAATATTTTCTCTTCTCTGGGTCAAAAATGTCTCCAACCTTTTTGTCTTACAAACGATCTCCGAAGTCAGAAAAATTAGTTCTTTCTGCTGAAAGATCTCTTTGTTTTGGTGAAAATTTGTTTTTCTGTGCTCTGGAGGAGGGGTGTACACAAAAACAAATGACAAAAATTTATAACGGGTGGAAATACATTCTAAAAAGCTGTTCCTTCACAAAACTGTCCATCCCTTTAGACACTGTTCTCAGAGATTAGGAGGAGCTGGAAGAAACTTTAGAGGTAACTGAATCCAACCCTTTCATCTTAAAGATGAAGAAACTAAAGCCAGAATTGATTCATAGTATGGTGACAACTGACCAGCTGGTTTATAGGTAAAACTGTTCTATAAATAGATGATTGTCCTCATCCTTGTCATCTTTGAGCAGTATTAGGTGACAACTTTATGGGAACAATAAAATAGCAACTTATTTGAGAAACACCTTGTCTATTTATGCCTAAAAAAATGAAAAATTTAAGCTACTGGCCTTCATGAAAAGAGGAAGACATTTTCACCCCCAAATCAAATACTTTTCAGGGACATATCTAGATCATTGCTTTCCTTCTGTAAGTCAGATCGTCAATGTAACATAGTGTTCCTACCCTTTAAAGTCCTTTAGATGGCAATGGGAATTACTCTTTCTGGAGAAATCTTACAGAAAGCAAATTCCTGAGGAATTAATCATAATGACATC